CAGATTAATAAAAAAGAAAAGAGAGAATAATCAAATAGATGCAATAAAAAACGGTAAAGGGGATATCACCACAGATTCCACAGAAATTCAAACCATCATCAGAGATTACTACAAACAACTCTATGCACATAAACTAGTAAACCTGGAAGAAATGGATAAATTCCTGGACACCTGCATCCTCCCAAGCCTAAACCAGGAAGAAGTCGAACCTGTGAATAGACCAATAACACGGTCTGAAGTTGAGGCAGCAATTAAGAGCCTACCACCCCAAAAAAGCCCAGGTCCAGATGGGTTCATAGCCGAATTCTGCTAGACATACAAAGAGGAGCTGGTACCATTCCTTCTGAAACTATTCCAAATAATCCAAAAAGAGGGAATCCTTCCCAAATCATTTTTTGAGACCAACATCATCCTGATACCAAAACCTGGCAGAGACTCAGCAAGAAAAGAAAACTTCAGGCCAATATCCATGATGAACATAGATGCAAAAATCTTCAGGAAAATACTGGCAAGCTGATTGCAACAGCACATCAAAAAGCGTATCCACCATGACCAAGTAGTCTTCATCCCAGGGATGCAAGGCTGGTTCAACATATACCAGTCTATAAACGTAATTCACCACATAAACAGAACCAAAGACAAAAACCACATGATTATCTCAATTGATACAGAGAAGGCCTTTGACAAAATTCAACAGCCCTTTATGCTAAAAGCCCTCACTCCATGACTTTCTAAGAGTTGCAACCTTCAAGGAATTACCCAATGTCTTTGTGCCTTAGTTTTTCCATCAGTAAAATGTTGTTGATTTTGGCATTTACCTCATAGGATTGGTGTGAGAATTGAATGTAAAGCACTTGGAATAGTAGCTGGCATATAGTAAGTGCCATGTGAGTTAACAGTTGTCAATTATCATCTCAGTGACGTAGAAAATAGCTTCTGTGCCGTGTAGTGGGAGTGGAGGCACAAAGAGAGGGCAGGTGGTGGTCAGAGTCCGGAACGGTCTTTGTGAGGGATCTGAGGTGGTCAGGGAGATATGAGTCAAAGGATTGTTGTGTAATGTTGAGAGGACAGTTGAGGTTGGGAATCGCATTGACTATTTAGAAATAGGAGTAAAGACACTGAATAAATAGGATTGGAATTAACTGGGTGGGGTTGGCAGAAGGCCAAGTGCATAGAGCACTGGAAGGTGCTGATATGACTTAGATGAAATAATTTGCCACAAGATTCTGGCTGGGAAAAGAGAAACAGAAGAGTACTTCAGAAAGTCATCTCTCTTGAATTGAGGGGTCAGAGTGAATTGTGGATAGAAAAAAGGATGCGGACTGAGAATAGATTTTCAGAATTCAGGCTTTTAAAGGTATCATTCTGGGTGATAGTATACTTTCAGGTGTGGCTCATGTGACTGGATTACTGCAGTGAAATAAATGTCAGGAATGAAGATCAGGAAATAGAGGGAATCAAATATTTCATTCAGTTTAATTAACTAGGCAATTGATGATCACTTAGTATGTGCTGAATGGGTATTACGTTGTTGTGAACATGATATAGGTATTTCCTAACCATTCAATTATAAAACAAATATATATATAGATAGATAGATAGATAGATAACAATATATTTTTTAAAAACAAACATATATATAAAACAATATGTTTTTTAATTAAGAGGAATCAAAGTTATTTATGTATACCTAGATACTTACCATTTCTTACATTACTCATTTCTTCCTAAAGATCTGTATTTCCCTCTATTATTATTTTACTTCAGCCTGAGGAATTGCCTTGAGCACTTCTTTTAGTGTAAGTCTGCTTGTGACAAATTCTCCTAATTTTCCCTTTTTAAAAACAGCTTTTTGGAAGAATATTTTTGCTGAACATAAAATTCTGTGTTAATTAATTCTCTCTGGTTTAAAAAATGTCTCAATGTTTTCTGGACTTCACTTTTTTTCTGCAGGAAGTCAGAAGTCATTTGTATCATTGTTTACTTATATGTAATGTACATATATTTTTCCCATGGTAGTTTAAAAATGTATTTGGAAATTTTTGATACTCCTTACTTCAAAAGTGGAGCTAAGGTTCCTCCCCTTGAGTATGGCTCCAACTTGGAGACTTGATGCTGATGAACAGAATGATAATAAGTGACTTCCAAAGCTAGATCATAAAAATGTAGGTCAGAGCACATGGAAAGAGCTTCTCTCTGTATTTCTCTGCTCTTGTTTTGAGGGAAGTCTAGCCACTACATCATGAAGACACTTACACAATAGTAGGGAAGAGTCCACATGGAGAGTAACTGAGGCCTCCCACCAAGTGGCGGCTCCAATTGCCAGGTATTTGAGTGATTCATAGAAGTGATCCACCTTGCAGGCAGACCCTCCAGCCCCAATCACATCCGGGTTCAGAGGATGGAGATCTTGCCTGACATTTGGTTACAACAGCATGAAAACCGTAGACCATAACCTAAGTGGTTCCTGAATTCTTTCCCACAGAAATTGTCAGAGATAATAAATGTATTTTTTTAAACCATTGAATATTGGAATAATTTGTTACGTAGCAATAAATAATTAATACATTTCCTAACTCAAATGTCTGTGCATGTTATACTTACCCCAGTGCTCCAATTCTTCAATTTGCTTTGCCTGTGTACGAGAAAGAAAAAAATTGTAAAATTCAAGGTGTATCACAACTGAAAAATCAATCTATAGAAGAAAATTATTAATTTGTGGTAAACTAAGAAAACATTCTTGGTTTGCCATTGGACCTTCAGCACCTTGTATAATGCTTGGTATATAATAAGGCATTAAGTAAATATTGTTAAATGAATGAATCAATACATTTTCATCCCCAGGTTTTAAGTTTCCATAGGACAAAAACTGTGCCTTAATCATCTTTGTATCTCCATCATATGGCACAATTCTTAGCATTGAACATGCACCATTCACTGTTGAGTTAAATTGAATTTAACTGAAATTATTGTTGAAGTAAATGATCTGGAAATAGAAGTGAAAAATCATAGCAAAAACTCATTTTAAATGTTTATATTGTACATTGACTAATGCTGGTTTTCAAGCCCCATCAAGCTATCACAAACCAACAAACAACCTTAAATTCATACTCCATTGGTGCATGGCAGACCATATGGATTTTTATAATTTCTACCAAAAGAACATATCTTCAGATGTTTCTAGGGAATCTTTATGAAGCAACATACAATGGAAGGTATTTTACTGTGCTTAGGTTGTAAACTATGGCAAGCTGTTGAATTTAGCAGATCATCTGCAGAGGCTGAGTCACTTGTATTCCTCCTTATCTAGTTAAGCCTTAAGCCATTTCAATAGAGCTGAATCTAATGAGCATAGTGGATCCGAACACTTATTCACTCTCACTCACTCACGCAACATATAAACTGAGCAATTCTCTTCCTCTTTGGGAAATAAAGAGTATCCAGGGCATATCCTAGTGGTTTGGTGCACAAGTCAGACTTCCTAGGTGCAAATTTCCAGTGGATCCCTTTCCAGCTTTGAGATCTTTAGTGTACGTTTTTAACCTCTTGCCTTAGTTTCCTCAACTGTAAAGTGCAGAAAGTAATAGTACTTACCTCACAAGGTTTCTGTGAAGATTAAATACATAAAAATTGCCTGGCACACACTAAGCATGTATAAAAATCAGTTGTTATTGCCTTCAATGCCTACCATAGACCCTAAAACATTGCAAATGACTTGTAACTCTTGAATGAATGAAAGAATAACTCCAAGGTGAGGGTCGTGTCTAAACTATGTGTGTGTGTGTGTGTGTGTGTGTGTGTAACCTCATTCTACGATCATACTAAAGTTTTGATTGTTCATTCCTTTTTAGAAATTCCCTATTAGATCAAAGAGAGGCAGTAGAATACGCTCTTTGATAAAGGATATACAAGTAGTGTTGGCACATGATTACCTGGACTTGGTGTATTAGTCTGTTCTCCCTCTGCTATAAAGAAATACCGGAGACTAGGCAATTTGTAAAGAAAAGAGGTTTGATTGGCTCATGGTTTTGCACGGAAGCATCCTCTTGGGGAGGCCACCGGGAGCTTTTACTCATAGTGGAAGGCAAAGTGGGAACAGGTGTCTTACATGGCAGGGGCAGGAGTAAGAGAGAGGAGGGAGGTGCCACACACTTTTAAACAACCAGATCTTGTAAGAACTCATTCACGATAAAGTACCAGGTGAGGATGGGGCTAAATCATTCATGAGAACTCTCCCTCCACGATGCAATCATCTCCCACCAGGCCCTACAGGCTCCAGCACTGGTGATTACAATTCGATTGGAATTTGGTAATGACACAGATCCGAACCTTATCAGCTGGGAATTAAACACACTTAGGGCTTAGGGGAATTTTGACTTTTCATTTAAAGCTCTTCATAAACGTGGACATAGGATACAGGAGTCAAGCACAGAAAGGAGCATGGAGACCCAGTCCCAGCTATGCCTTACTAAACTTAGAAAGTCCATTCTAACTGGCAAACAGGGCCAAGCTTCTCCCCCTTGACTGAGGGCAATACTTGGGGAAAGGTGAGAGGTCTAAGCCTTTGCATCTCCCAAACCTAGCACAGTGCCTGGCAGAGAGTAGGAAGAAAAAAACTTGTTTTCAAGGAATGAAGTATTAGGCAACCGAGGCAACCAACCAGGAAGGCTTTGGGTTGAAATATTCTACCTTTGGTCACAAACCTTCCACCTGTACCTCAGCTTCCACTTACGGAGACTGCTCAGTTCCCAAGCTTTCTCCTTAGAAAAACTTCCTTTCAATGCAAGCAGCAGAAAAAAGAGACCCAGCTGAAACTTCTGCTGGAGTTATGGGAACCGCCTCCTTTCTCTGTCGCTAATGGAGGACTCAGATGGGACTGGGAGCAAAGGAGCGTCTCTGAATGGTGGAGCAGTTGCAGCGTCCCACTTGGCAAGGGTCCTTGAATTACCTCCGCCCCCGCCCTGACCCAGCTTAAACATCAAACTTGAAAACTCATTTTTCAGCAGCAGCGCTGGAGAAGGGACCAGGCATCTCCGCGATGGACCCGGGGGACTTTGATCGCAGCAGCAGAATTTCCCGGGAGTTCCAGGGACTCCCAGGTAGAGGGGAGCTTTGGTTCTCACCTGGTCCCGCAAGCGGCTTCCCCGGGGACCGCAGGAGCCCGGACGTCCAGGAGGCCAGCCCGCTGCTGGAGGACCTCAGACGACGGCTGGCGCGCGCCTTCCAGTGGGCGATACAGCGCAGGGCCTCGAGGCGCGCGCAGGAGGCGGCTGCGGCGGCGCTGGAGGAGCAGAGCCGGGCGCGCGTGGAGGTCGCCCTCGCCGGGCTGCGGGCGGAGCTGGTGAGAGCGCGGGCTGGGCGGACGGCTCCCAGGGCGCCCTCTCCCGGGTCCTCTCCTCGGGCTCCGGAGCCGCTGCGGCTGTTCTTCCCGGGGAGCCCAGCTCACGTCTGGTCACGGCGTGGACGCCCCAGCCTTTCCAGCACCGTAGGGAAGGAAAGGGGCCCTGCAGGACCCATGGGCGGGGGTAGGGGGGTGGGGGGGCGCCTAGTCTACCAGGGGCAGATCCAAGACGTCTCCTCCGCAACCTGTATCTATAGTTTTCTGCCCTGTGGGGAACTGTGACTATGCGTTAAGTATGGCGCATGGAGGAGGAAATTTCCATAAAATAAACTCCCTCTCGGGATTGATGGAGTGTGTCCATCAGCAACTCTTTCTGCAAATTCCGCAAGTTTTATTCTTATCTTTCCCGTGGGTAATAATTCAGAAAACCGGAAATGATAAGGTATTTTGTAAAATTGCAGCGTTTCGAACATTAGACAGGTTAGATCTGAATATTAAACAGGAGGGTGTATAGGTAAGTATTTTAGCTGACCGATTTTTTTAAATTAAAAAAATTGGAAGTTAGACACAATCTCAAAAGGACACAATAAATAGGAGCGATTCAAATTTTAAAATGGTGCTGCCTAGGAAATCGTGCACTGGAGACTCGACTTGGAAAATTCTTTTCTTTTGCACTGATTACTAACACAATTAACCACTACCGTAGAACTGAGCCAACCATCAATAAATTGCCTTATTTAAGAACGTTATCGCATTTCTGAGTTTAAGGACAGTATTAGGCCGGGCGCTGTGGCTCACGCCTATAATCCCAGCACTTTGGGAGGCGGAGGCAGGCGGATCACCTGAGGCTAGGAGTTCGAGACCAGCCTGACTAACATGGTGAAAGCCTGTCTCTTCTAAAAATACAAAAATGAGCCAGGCATTGTGGCTGGCGCCTGTAATCACAGCTACTCGGCAGGTTGAGGCAGGAGAATCGCTTGAACTCGGGAGGCAGAGGTTGCAGTGAGCCGAGATTGCGCCATTGCACTCCAGCCTGGGCAACTAAGAGCGAAACTCCGTCAAAAGAAAAAAAAAAAAAAGAAAGAAAAGAAAAAGAAAAAAATTAGCTGGGTGTGGTGGTGGGTGCCTGTAATTCTAGCTACTTGGGAGGCTGAGGCAGGAGAATGGCTTGAACCCAGGAGGCGGAAGCTGCAGTAAGCCATGATGGCACCATTGCACTCCAGCCTGGGCAACAAGAGCGAAACAACATAGGTTTTCACCCTGAGTCTAAGCAGTAGTAGTGGGAGCCACTTGATTCGTCCCTGGAGGCCTGTGCGGTGGGCCAGAATGCCAAACTGCAAGGCTGAAACCTGACGCAGCCATCAGGCTCAGCTAACACTTGCTTGCCCTACAACTTTAGGATTGTTACTTAGCCAGTTTGAGTTTGTTTACTCATCTGTAAAATGGAATTTATAATCTCATAGTATTCAACAGCTTACGTGAGATAATATTCTATGAAATGCTTAGATCATGGATATTGTTTAGTGTCTCTTATTATAATAATGATTATTACAGACCTTGGACTCTTGACTGTACCAAAAAGGAACAGATGCATTCCTATTAAAAAAAAAAAAAAAAAAAAAAAACAGGAGTTTTTCTGGAAGGGAACCAGAGAAGTTTACACATACACAAATGATGTGTCCCTTGGTTACAGACGATGGTCACGATCTTGGTCAATCATATTGTCTTGGACATAGAAAGAAGCAAAAGAGTGTGGACACTGTAGTTTAATATTATTACCACTAGAAGACTTAGTTTTCGATTCTTGGCTGGATTTTTATAGAAACTGACATACATTCTTATAAAAATGTACATGTATCATATATTAGGATGGTATTTTAAGGAATGATGAAACATTTAATTAATTTAGAGTTGTGTTGTTATTTATGCTATTTGCTGTTGTTTGACTTGGTATTCTTAGTGAGAATCATTGATTTCTAGGGTCTGTGAGTGGATTTCAGGGGTTTTATATACCTAAAATTGTATGCAACATTTTTGATGTGCATAAAGTGTAGTTTTTCCTCAGAGAGGGTTCATAACTTTCATTGGATTCTCAAAGGGATCCATGATAAAAGTTAAATAACCATTGATGTTTGAATTTCCTAAATAAGTGTGAATTACACATACTTATTTTACTTAGATGGTAAATCATTACCAATAATTTTTCTCCTTGATTCTTGCATGAAAGTACATGATGGATGTTCATCAATTAATTAATTAATTACTTCACTCAGTTTTATAACAAACACACAGAGAACCTACTATGTTGTGTGCCCAGGCAGTGCACTCTTAGTTGGGGATACAATTATGAATAAAATACAGCCTCTGCTCTCAAAATCGTCAGTCTAGTCTGGTCAGTGTGTATGAGAGCACTTGTACAGAGTGCTGAGGATGCACAGATGAGAGGCAGTTATCTCAGAAGAGTTGGCATTTGACTGGGTGCAATCAGGGACGGCTTCTCAGAAGAGTTGGCATTTGACTGGCTTCAGCAGAAGAGGTGGCAAAGGACATCTTAAACAGAAATGGGAACAGAAGGAGGTGTGCTTCAGCTCAGCATTTATTCAGGGACCAGCAAGGTTTCTGACCAGCTGCAGAGGGAGCTGGCATGGGAAAGACGGCCAGGAAAGGAAGCTGAAAAAGTAGGACAGGACTACAGAGCATCTGGGCCACCCTAGAGAGCTGAAGCTTCCTGCAGGCAAGGCGCAAGTGTTTTTTATTTGTTTTTGTGGTGAAGCTTTTTTTTTTTTTTTTTTTTTTTTTTAGCAGAGAGAACAAATTCCTTATGAACTGCATTAAACAAGCCCTAGCTGAAGAAATTTGCAAGTAGTTGATTGTAATTTTCAGTCATAACACAAATATTATATTGGCCTAAGATTTGCTGGACTGCCCCCAGGTAACATGCCCCAGAGATTTTTTTTTTTTAAACACATGAGGACCTTCATAAACTCCCATTGGAGGATGGTATAAATCAGCCTTGCTATCCAACAGACTTCACGCCACAGTGAAAAACGTTAGATTATATAAGTATACATAACTATACATGTGCTTCTAAGGTGTCGTTAAGTGTTTTTGCTCAGCAGGTAGACCATTTACAATCCTGAAAACTTGAAATGATAAGTAATCAGGTAAATATGCACAGATTCTGAACACTCTGGTGGCTGTAGGCAGTTATCCTGTGGCTCAGAAGTCTCATAAAGATAAATGATTTCATTGTGGATCACATGCCATTGCTTGAAAACAGCCTTTGGTGCATAGGTATTTTTCATATGGACAGCTTTGTGCATCAGCTATTTTTGTTTTCATTTCAAGGCCATTTCAAAAGCTATTTATATATCTGGATTTTACCTTGTCATATAGAAAGTCAGTTTTATAGCCAGACAAAACAGAACTGGAGAATAAGATGAGAAATACATCTTTCTTGATATCTTATTTTCTTTTCCTACAAACTTATTTCTTCTGTGTAGTCAGAGAATGGTTTCATTTTATCTGTATCTCAGGCTAATAAAAATTTTTATATTTTTTCTAATTTTTAGGTGGAAATGCATTTCCAAAACCACCAGCTGGCTAGAACTTTACTGGACCTAAACATGAAGGTGCAGCAATTAAAGAAGGAGTGTGAACTGGGATTTACATCAGACTCTCGAAGCCCAAAAGATAATGCTGCGAATTCAGAATAAAGAAAGGCACACATGAAGATCTGAACTCCAAAACTAACACATCAACCCTGAAACAATTCTGATAAACACATTATGCTTTGCATAAGTTTTGAGGGGCAATTTGTAGACCCAAAACTTAGATGACAGGTGAAGGTGACGTAAAAATATCTAAGAAAGGGGAGAGAAAAATGATGTATTACCAAGTTTTAAAGTTACTTATTTGTTGTTTTGACTGGGACAGAGAAGTAAAATATAACTGTAAATCTCTCCCTCAAAGAATGCTTTAATGCCAACTTCTGGTATTCTACCTTGTGTCACCTGATGCTCCTGGCATTGCCTGAGCTTACAGAGTTCATGCTTATTTAGTTTAACTTGATTATTCCTGGTTTGTCTGTCCAGCAGCCTGCCCTCCTTTTTGTGAATTATTTCTACTTGGATTCCAGCAATGCCCTTTATTTAGGTGGTCTGCCATTAGGGGTACTCCACCTTCCTGGATATAGTCATGCAGCTTAAGGCAGCAGATGGGTTTGTCCTCAGGATTTTTTGAATGGGCACTGAAAGAGTAGATGAGTATTTCTGCTGGTAGAAGCTGTGGGTCAGGGTCTTGGAAGCTGCTGGTGGTCACCATGTGAGAAAGCCCACACCCTAACGGAGATGATTGAAACAGAACCACTAAAAGTACAAAAAAGGAAGGGGGGGTACTTCCTTGTTCCTGGGGTCAAACTGTGTAAGACCCCAGGCCTTGCTCTTGTGTATATACATGAGATATTCTGATATCCTTCTCATAAAATCTCTTTTTGCCTAAGCAACTTCAAGTTGGAGTTTCATGACTTGTATCTAGTGTTCATAACTAATACAGTTGTTCAGTTTTAGGAGTTAAAATGGTTCTTACTGTTGAATTGGACTATCTATACCCGAAAACTGCTGTCTTTTTAATGCAAACAATAAAGTTAATAAAAAATAGTTGCAGATCTAAGTGATATTTATAATGGTTATTGTCTGCAAAATACAAATTTATAACAAGCTATGTAATTTTAATGTTTAGTAAGCTATAAACAGAAGAGACATGGTCTTTCTCTTTTTAAAATAAATGCAAGGACCAGCAAGGTGGATTAGGCTTATAATTCCAGCACTTTGGGAGGCTGAGGTGGGCAGATTGCTTGAGTTCAGGAGTTTGAGACCAGCCCGGCCAACATGGCAAAACCCTGTCTCTATTAAAAATACTAAAATTAGCTGGGCTTGGTGGTGCTTGTCTGTAGTCCCAGCTATTCGGGAGGCTGAGCCACAGTCATCACTTGAACCTGGGAGGTGGAGGTTGCAGTGAGCCGAGATTGTGCCCCTGCATGACAGAGGGAGACTCCATCTCAAATAAATAAATAAATAAATAAATAAAAGAAAATAAATACAAGTTGTTTTATGTGTGTGAGGATCTGAGAATTATCTGGACTAAGTTTACTTTGTCCTTAACTTTTTCCCACAATAAGTAAATTATTCTAGCCCTTTGGTACTTAATTTCACTCTGTATAAATGAGGAATTACCAAGTTCAACACTGGCAGATGAGCAGTAGCCAGCATCTCGATATCGGACCACTGTGTTCCTGGAGACATTTTGCATATGAGCTCTTGGTCTATAAATATATGACTACTATATTAAATTTCATTTGTAAAGTAGATTTCCTGTTTATTTCTTTTTTTTAATTTTATAGAAATTTTTAGTAAAGGGTTGGCACAGTTCTTGTGATCTGTTTTTTGAAAAAGCTTCTACTTAACCTTTGGGACAATCATTCTTAAGTGCGTTTTAAAGATTAACATTTATAAATTGTAATTTTGCGTGTAAAAAATACTCGAGATGATTAATTGTGTGAGCTAAATTCCTTACAGAATACAGACTGCTGACGTTGGTTAATATTCATGTCATTTGATCATACTGATAATACACTGGGGATCAAACGAAAGAAAATTTAAAAGAGAAAGTACGAAAATTGATGCATTTTCACATTTTTCGGTTTAAAAAGGTCCATTATTGTATTGCAAAGTTTTAGTTGCCCCTTCCCCCCCACCCCCATCTTTTAGTGATGAACTTTGGATCACTGTGTCTTTTTGGGGTGACAGATATAGAAACAAAATGAGAAATTCCTTTGTGTCCAAAGTGTCTAGTTTAAGTCTGAATCAGTGGAGGTGGCCTCTAATATTAACTGCGCAAGGTGGGACTACAATGGGAACTTGATATGTGGGACATATCATTATTACAAGTTTTTATCTTGTTTCTTCTCCAGTAAGCTATCGCTTGCTTTTTGTTTTTAAAGTAGCAGAAGCCTGGTGATTGTCTTTATATAGTTCTTTGCCATGGCGCTCAGCTGTTGGTTGTTAGCTTGCTGGCCTGGCATCCTGTCAGCTGGGACACATGAGAAAGCAGATAAAGTTTTCTGAGAGCTGAGGCTGCCCTGCAGTCTACACTTCCCCTCTTTCCAGGATTTCTAAATAAGCTGGAGCAACAGTGTGACATTTTAAACATCTACGAAATGGGAGAGACCGGACTAGTGCCAGCTGGAGGGGAAAATGAGAAAATAATTAGAACCGAAATGATGCATTGGGGAAGCAGGAGCTGGAGAAGCTGAAGAAAGTTAGATGTTCATAACAATAGTGGAGACAGAGAGCCAACAGAAGAGATGCTAAAAGCAGTTTTGTGAGAAAAATATGGTGCTTGGGTTTTTCAAATGACACAATTTGTCACAGCTTTAATTATAGGGGGGATTAAACCACGTTAGCAGGAAATGGGTTTCTGCCGTATGGTCTTGTTTAGCACCTACCAGTGAATAGGTGCCAAATTAATTCTGACAGTTAGGAGCTTTACATCGGTTGTTAGGTATTAAATTCCTTTACAGGTTGCCTAGATGTATCCGCATTTTCTTTGGCTTTTGCCAAACGACTTCTGCTCTAACAGGTGCTTCTGCAGCTCCCAGCCTGGGGACGAAATAGAGTCGTCTGTGGGTAACCCCATGATGGCTGAGTCTAAATCAGTGTAATTATAAGAATCCCATCTCCCCTACTCCCTTCCTGGCAGGATCCAGGGCCCTGGCACAACCCTGGGCTCTATTTACTGTGGTAATCACTGTCAGAATCCCTCTGTGCCTGGGACCTGGCACCAGGCCCTCCAGTGCCAGCTGCTTTCTCTCCTGGTTGCTTTCATTGTTGCTGCTGCTGCCACGGCTATTGCCTCTTTTCCTTTTTGACCATGTCAGTAACGATGGTGACCACGTCAGTAACGAAGGGTGAAAAATACGGTTAGGGTGATGGTTGAGTCTGTGCCACCCTGCCTACCTCTCGTCTGGCAGCCTCTTGATCCATCTGAGCTGAGTGCTGGGCAGTAGCCCTCAGATAGGTGGACACCTATTACAGCAGCCTGTGTCAAGTGCTGTTTCTCAGGGGGCTGCGTACCTCTCAATTGCTTCCTAATTCTGGCATTGACGTCCATAGCGGGTGAGAGCACTTCACCTCTTCCTTAGGAGCAACAATATCATAGTCTTTCTCTTCTGGGACTAGTATAAGAGGGATCGGTTGAAATGTCATAATGATGAAACTAACAAAGAAATCAGCTACCACTCCTGTACCAGCCATTGTGCCAGGAACTGTGCATGTATCAGCTTCCTTAACCCTCACAGTGACTTATAGGTGTGTAGGACATGTTTTTGGAGTTGTTTGAACTTGGTGTTTAGTCCCGGCTCTGCCACTTACCAACTATATGACCCAAAGTAATTTGCTTTAAATTCTTTAGATCTGTCTAAGGAAGTCAGTGAAAATGGAGCCTATCTTATTTAAATTGTAGGCAACTTAGATCAGGTTTGGGAGAATAAGTTAATAGTGAAGGATCTTCTACTTCATATATTCACTCCACATGTTTATTTCGTATGCTCTTACTCCCCTTTTGGACGGATATGTTTCTTGTGGCATTCTCTTCCTCACATCTTTATGTCTTAGTAACAGTCTGACACCTGCTCCTTGTTATGATGTTGTCTTGGAGTTCCCACTGTTGATTGAAAAATTGATTTTGCAACATGAGAACAGGCAGCAGGAAGATATGAAGCGAACAGTTGCTGCTACTTGCCAACCCCTGCATCTGCCTGGTATGCAGTGTTATGTGTGTTTAAAATGTAAGTGTCCCAACAAAACTGTGAGGTTGGAACTATTGGACTTTCCACTTTACAGAAGAAGAGAGTCGGTATTGGAGAGGTGAGGTAATTCATCATGATCACTCAGCTAGCAGTGGAAATGTCAAGATTCACATCTGATGTTGGTAGTGGTCTGGCTATTGGGCCCCTCCAAATGAGAGAGACCTTGCACTAGTGAGTAAATTCAATATTATAATAGAAGAATGCATGAATTGCTAAAAGGGATGCTTTTTGCAAGAGTCAGACAAGGAAGGCCGCATTAAAGACATGCCTCCAAGTTATTACTTGCTGTCCACCTGAAGAAAAATCCTCACATTCTGTCTAAACTAGTTGAATGATCTTGGATAAATTGCTCCACCTTATTTAGCCTCTTTTTCTTCTCTTTTGAAAATGAAAGGGATAGTGGAAATAGCCCCTAAAACCTTCCTCTAGCTTAGAGCCTCTATTTTATTCTAATCCTGCCCGCTTGTAACTGGACCCTTCAATCGCTTGCTCCTGACTTGCTGAGACTTTCTGATTCCTGTTATAGCATGATGGACGGCTGACAATATTTGTCTCTGGCCCCCATCAATGAAGTAGACTCTCCTGGTCTCAGCCCTTACCCTGATCACAGCTTGAGCTGATACAGCCTTGATGATGACAGGAAGCAATTCTTGTCACTCTTGGATGCTCCTCTGCTCTTTTCACCCACACCATGACTGAAGCCAGGGGGAAATGTCACATTTGCACTTCCGAGGGAGACAAGCATCACTTAGAACTTTCATGTGTTAACGATTTTAGAGGCAGCCTGCTGTGGCAGATGCTGCTGGCTGAGAGCTGCGCCTTGTGCAGCCTCTGCGGCCGGACGATGAAGTTAGAATCTTGGCTCCTTCGCCTCGTCCTATGTTACTTAACACTTCCACAGTTCAGCTTGCTTATCTGTAAATGATAATTAATCACACTTACCCCAAGGGTTTGTTATGAGGGTCTAGTGGACTAACACATGTGAAGTGCCTATAACACCCAAATAGTGACTTATTATTATAACGGCTGAACCAACAAGTGTTTTGCTCATCCTTCTTGCCTGTTGGAAGTGCCCAATTCCAAGATGGAATTTTGTATGTTTCTTACATTTCTATTTATAATTTTGATTATTATTCTATGCTGAGTCAAGCAGTGGACTGTGATTATATTTTTTTCTTGTATAAATTTTTATTTCTTCTGATGTTGATAATTATCTTGCTTGTTTTGCTTAGCTTTCTTTGACTCTCTGACCAAATCTTTTCATAACATCCCACAGCTCTATGAAAACACTTCTAACATCATCTCATCTCTACTTCCTGTAGTACCTGGAACGTGAAGCTTTCTAGGGTTCTATGTAGGCAGTTTTTGCTTGCTTCTCATGAAATTTTCTTTGCAGGCACTCATGTCTGACTTCCCCTGATCTTCTGGGTTTTGTAGCATTTTTCTATCAACTTTCTCTCTTCATCCCTTGTTTTTTGTTTTCCTCCATTTCAAGTTCTATTTATTTCTAATTTAATCTAAGATGAAATCTGAATTCCTGTTTCTTTCTGGAATAGAGATCCAGAAGATCTCTACTCCATCTTAAAACTGGAATTCATTCATGAAATGTAAGTAGAGGATTCTGGTATTTGCTTTGAAGAAGCATCTCTCTGGCAGCAGTGTGGACAGAATGAATCTGAGAGGAGCTGGATGAGGTTTAGGCCAGTAAATAGGTCAGATGATAACAGACTGGAGTAGGGTGGTGATAGGATGAAAGAGTCGTCCTAACTAAGAAATAATTAGGAGAAGAATCAATAACTTTTGA